CCTCCCTCGCCTCCTCTCCCTCCTCCCTTCCCTAAATTAGCCGTCATCACTCGACCTCGACTATTCAGGCCTGCAATCATTCCGTAGGCAGACGCTACACGGTTGGGCCCTCGTTCCGAGTTTCCCCCTCCCCTTCTCCCCTCCCTTCCCTCCCTTCCCCTCTTCCCCCACCATCCCCCCCCCTCGCTTGTCCCCTTCCTCCCTTCCCCTCTTCCCCCACCACCCCCCTGCCCCCCTTCCTCCCTTCCCCCTCCCTCCCTTCTGCCCCACCACGGGCCCTTGTCCCCCTTCCCTCCCCTTCCCTCTTCCCCACCCATTCCTCTGTCCCCCTTCCCCCTCTTCCCCCACCATCCCCCTGTCCCCCTTCCCCTCTTCCCCACCCATCCCCCTGCCCCCTTCCTCTCTTCCCCATCCATCACCACTTTCCCTTCCCTCTCCTTCCCCATTCCCCGTCTCCCCCTTTTTCTCGCTTTCTGCTTCCCCTTCTCCGTGTCACTCTTTTCTCTCTTCCCCTCTGTCTTTCTCTTTCTTCCTCTCCCTTTCTCTCTCTTCTCATCTTTTCCCTTTTTGTCTCCCTTCTTTTCCCCTCTTCCTTTTGGTCTTGTCTTTTTCTCTTTCTCTTTTTCCGCCTTTCACTTCGTCCCCCCCCCCCCTCCTTCCCTGTGGTCTCCTCATCCTTCGTCCACTTTTTTATTTTTTTGGACTTCTCCCTCTCTCTTCCCTGCGCCTCCTCCCCCCCCTTGGTATTCTTCTTTCCTCGAAAACAAATTTGAAAAAATGCGAAATTCGGGCAATTACCTTTGTCGCAACAACACATTTTTCTCTCTCTTTCTTTCTCTCTTCTTTTATTTTATCTTTCCCTCATTTATGTTTATGTGCTCTTCTCCTGTGTTCTCCCCATTCTCTTTTCTTTTATGTTCTCTTTCGATTCTCTTTTTCGTATCTCATTCTCCTTTGTCTCTATTATTATTAATTTCTCTTTTCTCTTTCTCTTCTACTCTTCTCCTCCTCTCCCTCTCTTCATTCCCCCTCCCCTACCCTCTCACTCTCCCTCTCCCTTCCTTCCTCTCCCTTCCCCTCCCCCATCCTCCCCTCATAACAGGGGTCACCCTCTTCCCTTCTTCCTTTCCCTTCCCGCTCCCTCTCCCTCCCCTCTCCCCTGCTCTCTCCCTCCTCCCTCTCCTTCTCCCTTTCCCTCTCCCTCTCCCTCTCCTTCCTCTCATCCTCCCCTCCCCTCTTCCCCCCACCCCTCCCTCCATAACAGGTCAACCCTCTCCCTTTCCCTCTCCCTCTCCTTCCTCCACATCCTCCCCTCCCCTCCCCTCCCCCACCCTCCCTCATAACAGGCAACCCTCTCCCTTCTCCTTTCCCTCACCCTCTCCCTTGCCTTCTATTTCCTCTGATCCTCCCCTCCGCCTCCTCTGTTCCTCCTCCTGCATAACAGGTCAACCTCTCCTTTCCCCTCTTCTCCTTCCTCACCATCCTCCCCTCCCCTCCCCTCCCCTCTCCTCATAACCCAGGTTCAAACCTTGCCCTCTCCCTCTTCCTAATGCTAATCCCTTCTCCCAAGTCTTTCTCTCCTCTCTCTTTCTTCCCTCTTCCCTCCCCTTCTTCCTTCTGCTCTCATCCCCCCTCCCTCCTCCTCCCCTCATTGTCACACCCTGCTCGCCTCTTCCTCTCCTTCTCCCTCTCCCTCTCCCTCCCTCTCCTCTCTCCCTCTCCTTCCTACTCATCCTTCCCTTCCCCCTCCCCTCATAACAGGTCAACCCAATTGCGGCCATTAGCGACCCCTTGCGCCCATGTCGCAGGTATCTTGGGCCAATTATCCACGTCTTGGGAACGAGGCGAGTTTTGAGGGTCTTGGTAGGGAAGGGAGAAGGAAGGGAAGGGAGGGTGAGATAGGGGATAGGGGAGGAGGAAGAGGATGAAAAGGAAGGAGGTGGGAGAAAGTGGAGAGGCTGAGAGAGGAGGAGGGAGGAGGAGAAGGATGGGAGAGATAGGAAGGAGGAGGATAATGAAGAGGGAGGAGGGGGAGAAAGAGGAGAGAAGGAGGAGGAGGAAGGGTGGGGGAGAGATAGGGAAGGAGGAGGGATAATGAAAGAGGAGGAGGGGAGAAAAGATTGACATAGAGGGAAGGGGGCGAATAGAGGAGAGAGAAAAGAATTGAGGAAGGGTGGGGAAGAAGAAGGATAAGGAGAAGGGAAGGAGGGAGAACCGGGGAGGAAAGAGGGGAAAGAGAAGGGAGGAAAGAGAGAGGGAAGGTTGGTAAGGGAATGAACACACTGGCAGAGGGATCGAGGTACGGAGGAAGGTTAGGATAACGATAAAAAAGAAGTGGAAACAAAGAAAGAAATAAAGAGATGAAGAGAGAAATAGGCATAGAAAGGTAAAAAAAGAGAGAGACAAAGAAAGAGAAAAGAGAGCATGCAAGAGCGAGACTCGAGTAGTGTTTGATGTTGTTATTGATCTCCGCCCACGTGGTCGGCACGGCTATGTTGTGACTTCCTTCCGAACACGTTGACACGTGTTCCGCCATTGCCGTTTCCTTCCTTTTGGTTCTGGACGTAGAGAGGAAGAGAAATGTTATAAATAATATCCGCTTTTTTTTAAGGGGGAGGGGTGAAGAAATGAAAAAATGTTTTGCTGTTTGTCACCTTGTATCATTATCATCTGTTATCATTATCATTTCCCCTGACCCAATGATTATCAGGGATTTGATGGTAATTCCGTCAACGATAATGATAAGGACGATGAAGACGATGATAGATTGTCATTATTACCGTTTTTATCAGTATTATGATGATGGCGATGACAACGAAGAGAGTCGCAAGGATGATGACAATAATGATAATAAAGGCAATGATGATAAGAAACATGATTAGAAAAAAAAAAGTGTTAGGTATCAGTGCCAAGGATAAGGAGCCCACGGTGCGGACAAAAGGGAAGACCGGCCCGTGATTGGTTCGCTGTGCACTGGGCTCCGCGGGGTTGCGTGTTCTCGGCTCCTTGTGAAGGCTTACGGTAGTGTATGTGTGGAGGGAGGTGGGGGAGGAAGGGAAGGGAGGGAAGGGGCGTTTGTCTGTGGATAGGGATGGTCTGGGAGGGGGGGGGGCGTGTGGAGGTGTTGTGTGAGGGGGGGGGTTATATATGTATGGGTGGGTTGTATGTGGTGGTGTATGTATTTATGTGTATGAATGTATTGTATGTATGTATGTATGTATGTATGTATGTGTTATTTATGTATGTATGCGTGTGCTTATGTGTATCCCTGTAACTCTGTATACATCCTCATGTCTGTTTATATGTGCGTGTGCGTGTGCGTTGACCTAATGGTGCGTGCCAAGTACCCAGCCAGCGAGATTATTGCATGCACCCTCCCTCTTGCTTGGTTGCTTTGGAGACTGGGGAGGAGAGGGGAGAGGGAAGGGGGAGAGGGGAAAGGAGAGGGAGAGGGAAAGGGAGAGGGGGAGAGAGGGGGAGAGGGGAGGAGGGGAGAGGGGAGGAGAGAGGGAGAGAGGAAGAGGTGGAGGGGTAGGGGGGAAAGGAAAGGGGAGAGGAGAGAGGGAAAAAGGGGGGGAGGGAGGGGGAGGGGAGAGAGGAAGACTGGGGAGAGGAGATGGAGGGGGAAGAGGGGGGTGTTGCTGTCACTGCCCTCCTCTGCCGTTGCACCCACTTTGTTTGTGTGTTTGGGATTGTTGCAGGGAATGAGGGAGAGATGGTAGGATAGTGATCTGATGTTGCAATAGTGAGATGAAGAATATTGGTCCTAGGGGGCTTCCATCGGTACTGCATTAGCCTCGGTATCAATTTTAACAAGCCTCATTTACCACTATCATTTTCATTATTAGTGTTATTATTTTTAGATTATTATTCTAATTGTTGTTGTTGTTGTTTATTATTATGATCATTATTATTATTATTATCATTATCATTATCTTTTATTATTATTATTATTATTATTATTATTATTATTATTATTATTATTATTATTTATTATTATTATTATTATTTATTATTATATATTATTTATTATTATTACTCATATTATTATTATTATGATTATTATTATTATTATTATTATTATTGTTATTATTATTATTATTATTATATTATTATTATTATTATTTATTATATTATATATTATTATTATTATTATTATTATTATTATTATTATTATTATTATTATTATTAATTAATATTAATCATTATTATCATCCATCATCATCATCATCATCATAATTATCATTATTGTAATCATAATTGTAGATTTAATCATTATAATTACCATTGTCACTGTCACTGTCATTATCATTATCATTATCATTGTTATTATTGTTGTTGTTGTTGTCATTGTTGTTGTTATTATTATTATGATTGCTGTTGCAATTGTTAGTGTTATTGTCATCATCAGAATCAACATTATTATTGTTATCATTGTTATTATTATTATTATTATTATTATTATTATTATTATTATTTTTATTATTATTATTATTATTATTATTATTATATTATTATTATTATTATTATTATTATTATTATTATTATTATTATTATTATTATTATTATTATTATTATTATTATTATTATTATTTATTATTATTATTATTATTATTATCATTTATATTATTATTATTATTTGTTATTGTTGTTTATTGTTTGTTGTTTTTGTTTTTATTTATTATTATTATTATTATTATTATTATTATTATTATTATTATTATTATTATTATTATTATTAGTGTTATTATTATTGTTATTTTTTTCTTGCTTTTTCTATCATTATGATGTTCCTCTCTTATGGCTGTATGGTTAGGATTTAAAAAATGCATTGATTATATATTTTTAGGGAATATTTGTTTTTTTGCTGTTAGGAGGCTTCATGAACAAAATGTCAAAGATAGAGGGGGAGAATTTGTTTGTTGAAAAATTTGCATATTCTACATGATTGAATGCAAATGTGTGTTCAGAGGTCTTTATGTGTTGTTATTTGACCTTAGAAAGTTGGACTTATGCATGTTCGTGATAAAACAAATGATGCTGAGAGATACAGTGAATTGAACTAGACACAGGCAGATCCATGACTGGATATCACCGCTCAGAGTCTATCGCATCCGTCTCGGGGTTGAGCCCCAGCATAAAGGAAGTCACGAAAATCAAACCGTGCTTTCCCCACGACGGCTTCCCTCCTCATATGAATCCGAAAACTGGGCAGGGGAAGCACGTGAAAGGGCACCCCAGTATGCGAGGGAGGGCTGGGGCCTCCGCTCTCCCACCAGCCCGGGGAGCGGAGAGCCCCATGCTACCAGGCCCTACCTCTTCTGTGCCTTCTACGGCACCTGCAACACCTGTGACACCTGTGGCTGCCCCTCCACATCAGCACCGCCTCCCCCGAAGTAAACGGAAACATACAGTAGTCTTTAAGGTATTGCCTGGTTGGATGCCACTTGCTCTGACCAAAAGAAATTCTGGTTTTATTTATTTTTTCCTTTACTGTTCATTTATTTGCTTTTGTGAATTCCTTAATTATTTTTATTATTACCATTATTTTTTTTTTTTTTTTTAAGACTACTGTCCTTCCATTTCTTTTGAGCATTGACTGGTAGAAGTGAGCATAAGGTTGAGAAGCTCATGAATTTTTTTTTCTTCATTTCAGTATTGTGAGGAGATGAATGAACTGAACGAGGCAGCTAACAACCGACCTCGAAGCGCCCTCATACACTCGATCCAGCAGGAGAACAGACACATCAGACAACTGCAGCAGGTTAGTGCATTGTAGCGAGGAGGGTAAATAGATGACTCTCTCGCATTGCCTTGCAAGTATGGGTTTGAGACATTATATTATCAGTAACTTCTTTTTTCTTTTTCTTTTTCTATTTTCTTGGTGTATGAGTGTATTCATTATGTAAGATTCATCTAAGATTTGCTGTATTTTTACCGCAGTCTGAAATAGTTGTTGTTCCTTGTCCTTCTCCATCTTTTTCTGTTTCTTCCACTTCGTCTCTTACGTGTTTAACCCATTTCTCGTCTTTGTATTCTGCCTCTTTCTGTTCTATCGTCAATTTTTAATTATTATTTTTCTTTGTCCTCTTATTCCTATATTTCTTTGTCCTCTTATACCTATTCTTCTATGTCCTCTTATTCCTATTTACCTCATTTTCCTTTTGAAAATCCTATATCTCTTCCTGTTTTTGTCTTTTTTTCCTCCTCTTCTTTCTAATCCTTCTATATTGTACTTTTCCTTTACTTTCTCATCTTCCTGCTTTTCTCTCCCTTGTCATTCATCGTGTTCATTTCCTCATTTATTTTTTCTTCTTTTCTCCAGTATATTCCCCTTGTTCATCTCATCAGGTCTCCATCTCCTTTTACTTCAAGTTCCTTCTTCCTTTCTTTTCTTTCCTATCCTTCTAATATTTATCTCTTCATTTATCTCATCAGCTTCTCTCCATTTCCTTCTTTTACTTTCAATTCCTTTCGATTTTTATTATTCCTTTTGCACCTTCATCTTGTTATCTTTCTCTATTTCTTTCACTTTTTCTTTCTCTCTTTCTTTATCTTCTTTTGCCTCTTTCTCTTTCTCTTTCCTATCCCTTCCATTTCCTTTTCCTCTTTGTCTTTGTCTTTCTCTCTTTCTTTATCTTTTTCTTATCCCTCATACTTATTCTTTTCTTGCATTTCTTTTTAGTTTACTTGCCTTTCCCTTTAATTATTCCCTCACTTCTTAGTTTTCATCACATATTTTTTAAAAGATAGAAATTGGTACTTAGTTCTAAAGATACATAAGATGAAGTAAGAACTAGGTACCACACTTTTATTTATAAGTGAACAATTACCTTGTAAAATAATTTCTGATTCTATGATGGAAGAGTAATTACAAGTTCTTTGAAAATGTTTCATGTTTAGTTGTCTTTCTCAAGAACAAAGATAGAAATCTCAGGGTTCATTATATCCGGCCTAAGTTGCACATCAGTAGAGTATTAGAAGCAACATGCTTTGAAAAAATGAAACCTGGTTTTTGTGTGGCTGTAGGTCTAGAATTACAGACAAGGAACCCTCTGCTTGCTAGTTAATTTAGTAGTAGGAGCATATTTCCACCCCCCCCCCCTTTTTGGAGAAACCCTTTGTTTACTTTTTTCTAAATAATTTCCGATCATTTAGTGTTTTCACCGTAATTATCTGAGGAGTTACCCATGAGCAGAGACTATCACTATGACTCTGCTTAACCTTTCAGTGATCATGACATAACGTGCTATGACATGTATATGGGTCATGACTCTAGACAAAGGGCGTCTTTTGTACGTGCCATAAAAGTTAATCCAGTATTTAAGTTTAATCCAGACTTCTAGTGCGCAGGCGCATTGGCAGTGTCCAGGATCAACTTTTAATGCACCTCTGCACCAGGCTTTAATTTTAAGCTCATTTCTTAATCCTGCACATGCGCAGAAGGGACAAGTTAATCCCACCAATCATGTACTGTTACGTCATGTGTCCGTCATGAACTTCACGGGTGCCATTGCTTGAGTTGCCATTCAGAGTTATTTTCGGCAATAACACCGATCGTCTTAGAATTTTTATTCTTAATATTCATTCTAAAATTGTATATATTTACACACCTGATTAAATATTCTGACAAAGGAAATAACTTATGATAATGAATATAAAAACCAAAATAATTCCACGAGGAATCTTTGAAGTTCAGAAGCTGCGGGCAAGGAACTCATATTTCCAGGTTAGTAAAACAAAAAATATATGGTCAAGGTCACACAGGTTGACATTTTAAATAAAATATGAACCAGTGTTTTAAAAACATGTTTCCCTCGTCCAACACGATTCAACAGTGCAGAGAACTGCTCAAGGAAACAGCGAGATAGATGTCGATTAGTTAATGTAATTTTTGTACTTGAGTGTCATTGAAAAAAGTTTCGTTACCCATTTTATTACTACAAATATAAGGTCCTCATCATGAAAAAATAGAATATTTCATAAATAATCATGTTTCCCTCATACGTAGGAGGGTGCCTCATAATTATCATATGAAAATCAAACTGCATCTTGAGTGGCTGACTACAACTTTCTATAACAATCACCTTTTCTCCAATCTATAAAAAATTAATATCAGTCAGAAAAATCTTTTAACAATGCAGTGCCTGAATGCAAATTGCAGGGTTCATTTATCCAAGTAAATTTTATACCGGTCTGCAAATCTTTAGGTAATATCCTTAATATTGTCTTCTATATCATCTATGTAGGGACATGAAGGGTGAATGTTGAATTGATATCCTTTGGATGATTTTGTTGCTTATTTATGGGTATGAGTGCATGACTTGCTCCAAACGCTACCCTACACAACATGCAACATTATGTGTGGAGAGCAACACTGCACAGAAATGTTTCAAAGTACCACAGATTTTTTCAGCAAGAAAGAGACAAGACATCCCTCAGCTCCCACCCTTTAGATTTTTAACAGACCAGGAACATAACAAGCATTGATAGAAATTTAAAGAGACAGTCCATTAACATAAGATTCAGAACAAATCATATTTGTAACAGATAATCTTTAAGAAATGTGTACAGAAAATAGAGGTACGAACTTTCTTACTTTGATATGGTGCTAGTTTTAGTTTTCAATTTTGAGAACATTAGGAGGCATAAAGAATTGATTAATGATATGAATAAGTTTTAATGCCTTGTCTTCAATCATGTAGGTACGTCTGGGATGAAGGGAAAGAAAAGGTGGTCTTCAGAAGCATCCGAGAAGTTTATATTATTATTTATAGAATACTTTAAACAATTAGGGGGCAAAGCAGTGCAGAGATAGAAAAAAGAAACAAAAAAATGGCAGAAGATAATTAGCATTATGAAAACTTTAGTAAGAGTCTCAGTTTCATGAAATACACATTAAAAATAATAGATATTTTGAAACCTAAGGGATGTCTAAAATAAGTTCTTACATATAATTACCAAAAACATGCCGTTACAAAAGGAAAGAAAGAAAGAAAAAAAAAAAAGAAATATCCCAGAAGAGCGTATTTCAGGTGCGACATTTCTCTTCTCTCTGACATGTTTACATGATAACGGTGGTGATAGAATAATGAGTACGACAGTTTTTACTGAACATTATTGTTGCGCCGTCTGGCAGCGGAGATTGTCGTCTTCGGTATGGACATGGTGGATTAGGATTAAACTAAATACGGTATTAAGAGTTAAGGACACTACAGAAGACGCTTAAAGTCTAGGCTATTGCATAATATTGTATCGCAAATAAATCAGGCCTCATCATCTTGGGGTTTATTAGGGGAAATCATTACATATGTCTTTTGATAGTTGAGGTATTCAGTGACGTTTGATTTTTGGTTTTGTACTTAATTTTGCTTCATTCCATATATATAATATATATATATATTTTTTTTTAACTGTCCTTCCCTTGTTAACTGTGTTGAGGTGTCTAAAACTCATTAGAAATGTATATATAAGAGATATTTCTTCGTTATAGTAGGGTTCTAGAATTCATCTTGTCCAAATTTACAATAGACCATCTGCTTATTATTCAAAAGTTATTAAGATTGGAAGCAGAGCATTCTGTGACCCTAATATAGAAAAGGCCTTTGACTTGAATTATTAGACCTATTGGCAAATGCCCTTGATGTAAATTCTTATGGCTTTTTGCTACCTGTCACTTTGTTATTTTTTAAAATTTCTTTACAACACCCTAATAAAAAAAGATAATTTAAAACAAGATAGCAGGGAGCAAAAGATGTTAGAGCTTTCTTTTTTCAGTCTGTATAGCTTGACGAAGGTCCGCTCATCCATCCCTCTATTGCTGTCTATAATCCCCAGCTTGACAGCCAAGTGCCCGACCATATAGGGGTCGTCTGGACAGCCAGAGGTTGGGACCCACAAGACCCCACACGAGCTTTACATCTCATTTGCAGAATTGTTTATTGTTTAGCCGTAGATCCTTCGTTTTTGTGCACTCTCTCTGTATGTGTTTATGGTGCTGGTTGATGTGTGTATGTCAGTGTGATGCAGTTCATCTTGTGCTGTCTTTTAAAAGCCCACTTGTCGTGTTTCAAGGAGACTTGCTGACACACCACAGAGAAGAGAGAAAAGGCTATTTTGTGCATACTCTGCATTGCTTTAGGCAGATTTTTTTTATGTTATAAAAAAGTGAGAAAAGGGAAAGGATGTGCTAAATTATATTCGTTGCCAATTATTCTTTGAAGATCAAAGTTTGTGTACTATTTTTTTCTGTAGTGATATCTTTTGGGAAGTGGAGAAATTTTGAATTGGTCCTAATTTTTTCCCCCCTAATAAGAGACATTCATTACACTTTAGATAAGAAGGCCATGTATGCATGCAGTATATTTTCTCGTCTATTAGAAAATGCATATGTTTTTGACAGTGATTTCATTTTACACTTTACATTGTGCTAGATCTGTATTGGTAGTTGAAGGAAATGAAAGCTCATTAAAGTTTTACTGAAGCAAAAGAGTTCAGATGCTCTGCTAAATTGTTTAGGCTGAAAAAAGTTGGATCTGTAGCCTAAAAAAAAGGGCTGTTTTTTAGAGCTTTAATTTTGACATTGGTCTCACAACCTTTCAGGAAAACAAAGAACTCCGGCTTGCTCTCGAAGAACATCAGAACGTCATGGAACTGATAATGTCAAAGTACAGGCAACAGGTAGCTAAGCTAGTGAGTGTCAACAAGAAGCAAATGCAGCCCAATACCCAGGACCAAGCCAAGGTGAGTGAAGCTTTTATTCCGTTAGATTATTATGGTGAAAAATCTCAATGTTTCTAGGATGTATGATTACTTTTTAAATGAGATAATTTAATGGTTTTTACAAGACTGAATTGTGGATAGCCTAAGTGTTAAAACCTGACTTTTAGATACAGATGACTTGAAAAATTTGAACTTAACAATTTCACAAAGAAAGCTTAACCCAATGCCACAGGGAACATGTAATGTTCACTGTAGTTTTGTTTTATGAAATGTTTTTACACATGTGTAGCTCCACAGGTGTTCAGCCACCAAGGAGTCAATTATATTGATGCTGTTATTATTATTATAGACATTATGATTTTAATGATTTTATTATCATTACTGATAACAGTGTAAGATAAAAAGTTATTCCAGAAAAGCAAAGAAAAGGGTAAACATGGGAAAGGCATATATGAACATGCCATCCCCAATGGCATTATGTTGAAGTTTTATTTCAGCTTAGATGATTCTACTTTGCACAACTGTTCATAGTCGAGGACCATTGATATACAGTCACAAACACTTTTGTGGAAAGTGTTGCTAATGCCTTAGTTAGAAATGGAAAAATTTAGACTGCTACCATTGAATTACTGTTTGATTTGTAATTGGTTGGAACTGTAGTGTAAGAAAGCCATTTTACCTTTAACCCCCTGATATAATGTATATTAATTTCATTTAGTAAAGATGGTTAACTTGATGTGAGGTTTTGCAGGCATTAAAGTCTCTGGATGGAAAAAGGATACTAGGAAGATTTTATAGGTGTTCATGCTCTAGCTGGTAGCCCTTATCCCATAAGGCACGGTTCAAGTGGTCAGGCTGATTGAACTGTGTCTTTACCTTGTCTGCTATCCTTGCTCAGTGCCTGATGATCGGTTTAGTGTATTTGTGGGTGATGTTGAGTAAAAATGTAAAGCTTCATCATGACCTTGAACCTGTTACGGCCTGTCAGTGTCATCTCTAGCCTCAACAGCAACCATTTTTTTCCCCTAGTATTACCAGATATCATTGTAAAGGAATGAGCTTTTCATGATAAAATTTTGTTAAAAGAAAAAAAAAAAATTGGTGAGGTTTCCATTGTACCGTTTAGCCCACTGTGATAAGGTTAAAAGGAAAATCTCTTGAAAGTGTTGTGATGGCTTATGGCTATTTTCATATTATTGTTGAAAATAGCAACAGAGACTTTAGATAAATTTATAGATTAAGAACAATGCAGTGCTATCTTTCCAGCCTCCAGCACAGAAGACTATTGGGTTGCACAGATCTTATAGAGAGTGAGAGAATAGATAAGATTAAGAATAAGAGTGAAGTGAGAGTGAATGATATTAGGTTACCAAACATGATTCCAAGAGAGAACCACTTTGAATTGAACAAGTGGTACCAACTACCCTTTGGCCAAGTTCGGCTCATCCATGCGCCACAGTCATGGTAATCTAGGAATGCAAATTATGCAAGATTTGGTAGCATTATTATTTAAAAGAAAAGAGAAAAATAGATGCACAGATATCACTATGCAGGATAAATCAGATGATGTCCAGGTTGTAACAAGGAAAGTGGTATTTGTAGTTTTTTTTTATACTTCTGGCTATGCTACCATCATTATTCTTCATCTACCTGGCAATGTGTCTACTTGCAAAGATGGTTATGTGATATGTATTTCCTAGAACAGCAGCTTTCTCTGTTGTAAGGGGCATGTGCTATATCTATATTTGTTGTGTGGTTTACCAGTGCCACACATGCTAACCAAGTTCTTGAAATATGGTCGTATTGAGGTATCATTTGTAGCACTATTGGGTATTCTGAGAGTGTAGGCAGTACGTTGCCCAACCATGCAGGCTCTTAGAATTCATGTCTGACTGATTCTGTAATAACTATAAGTGATTTTGATTATTATTGTTATTACTGATTGTTAGTTGATACTTATTACTTATTATTTAACATTATCAATATTAGTAATAGTTTCAGCATTACTGTTATAGTTGTTTTGTTGTTTTTGTTGCTGTAATTGTTATTGTTAGTGCTGTCCTTGTTCTTATCATCACAATCACAACCATCTTCACTACCACCATTCATCATCATTCATTCATCAATCATCATCATCATCATCATCAATCGTCATCAATCGTCATCATCATCACCATCATCATCAACACTATCATTATCAACACTATCATCATCACTATCATCACCATCATCATCATCACCAATCATCAACATCATCATCATCACTATCACCACCATCATCAACACATCATCATCATCACATCACCACCATCTCATCAACACACATCATCATCACTATCATCACCATCATCATCATCAACACTCTCATCATCATCACTATCATCACCATCATCATCATCAGCAGCAGCAATGATAATGATCATAAAAAACAAGCATGACTCAGGAGGAGGGGTATTGGATGTTGTTCTTAACCTAGGATCTGGATGACATTGCGGTCACATCAAGGAAAAACTTGGGCAGCTGCCCGGGCAAATTAGCAACAGCCTGGGTGACGCGAACAGCTGTCATGAGCAAAGGCTAGAGTGACGGAAAAGACTCGCCACAAGTGCACAAACCTCGTGGAGTGTGGTTTGACTCATTTGACGCTTAGAAGGGGGCTTTAACATTATTCCCATTGATAAACGAATGTGGAATATAATGTGTGTAAGCAATGACTGGAAGAGCACTGGCTCCAGGGAAGACACCATTTCCATGCTGCGCACTGTATTCCTGGCTGCTGTGACCAGTGGCGCAAGCTGTATTACGCATGATTGAAAATTTTGAAGAAATGATATACATCACACAAATAACCAAATTTTCCATGTGTTTTTTTTTTTTTTTTCTTCTTCTTCTTCCTCTGTGTTATTTACTGCATAGAGAGATGATATGGAGTCTGTGCAAGGAAAATAAGTAATTACCATCTGGATAAAACAAATCAAAAGACTAATATGGACATTCGAAAATGGCGATAAAGCTAGAAAAATTGCCTTGTCTTAAGCTTTTTTCATAGTGGGAGGAGCATAGTACGTCATTAACTCAGAGATTGCCAGCTTATACGATGCAGAAATATCTTGCTTATTTTTCATTGTCATGATTGTTATTTTTTTTCCTTGTCACTATGAGTACCCCAGTATAAAGGGCATCATTGTCCATAATCCTGCTGTGTTACTAAGGAAGAAGATTAAATTCATGAAGATTAATAGATGTCTTTTTGGGCCAACAGTCTGTCCAAGCTGTTACTTCATCTTTTGGTCACCCTGGGCAGCCAGGACCAATCCGACATCTGCAGAACTGACGTAGTTAGTAAATGGGAAACTCTGGTTTATCACAGTGACATTGAATAAGCATCATCATACACATAAGGTTAAGAGGACTTTGGGATATGTAACCTTTTGTGTCCAATGGAACATGGCAAAAGTTTGCAGAGTGGCCTGTGATGTGACTGTATTCTCCAAAAGACTTCTTTTAAATAATATGATATTTCAATGAGCCCATTTTTATCAGTCTTGGTTATAATCATATTCTGGCTCAGTAAGACTCTTCTTGCAAAGGATATAGCATTGTTACGATAAGATAGGCCAGACTGAAAGAAAATTTTTGTTTGTTAATAGCCAGGAATACCCATGGATGAGGTATTGTTACATCCAGGAGGGACAGATTTCTAGTAAATAATTTATCGCTTCCTGCCTGTCAGTCGGTTAACGATGCTACCTATTAATCCCCAAGAACAGCAAATTCTTGAGCTTGTCTGTCCTCTAAGTTGTCAAAAAGGGCTGATTTCCCAAGATGAAGTATTGGTTGCAGGTATTAGAAAGTTTAGTTAAATCTTGTTATGTCAGACATACCCTGTGTCTTTACAGTGCAAAGTTGAAATAGTTATCACATTTACCTGTGGTGTATGAATGAAAATGGGGAGAGATTACAGCAAATATGGAAATAATATATAGAGCACCTAAGAAATCATATTCTTATTTAAAACAATAAAATTTCCATTTAGACATATTTACAAACTTGTTGATATATAAATAGTAAAAGGACAATGATATACCACGAGGTAAGTCTGAGATTTGTAAAAGTATATTGCATGGAAAGGGAATTTGGGAAAAAGAAAAGATCTGGCTGAAGAAAACATGCCAAACAGTACCAGAATTTCTACTTCACACATACTATGTTTCATTCACAAGAGACAACCTTTAAGTACTGAAGATATATGGTACAACTGATGCTTATAATAGTGGTATGTATTCAACATGGATAAATGTCTGTTTGATGCACTGGCACAAGGTACATGTACCGTCCAGTCAATTACTAGGCCTTGTAGACTTCACTTTAATTTAAGAGGGGAAATTTTTCTTCTGATGCTATAATTAACATTCAAGTTATAGTATTATGATATCATAATTCTTATTTACATTGTTATTGTTATAAGGTTATTAACAATACCAATGTAATGAAAATAAGACTTCTCTTTATAAAAATTCAAGGCATATGGTAAATTTAGTTAGATCAAGTAGGCCTAGTAATTTACACCTTGGTTACTTAGGGCCTGTAGAGTCAGGTATATATAACCAAAATTGATAAGATAAAAATACTGTGGACAGGGGCATATATGCATGCACTCTCAGTGTCAAAAGGTTGATTTATCTTTAATTTGTACATCTGTGAGTTTCGATATGGAGTAGATGGCAGCATCCTATAATGGCCATTCAGATACAAAATTTTAAAATGTCAATATTGGGAATTAGATTAATGAGGAAATTAATCTTTATTATGGTATTAGTTGGTCTGGAGGAGTGATAGTAATTCATCAGTTATTTAAATCATTACGGGCAAGAGTGTTTTGTTTTAGTTTAAGCGAGAAGTATTATCTTTCAGTGAATGGATCCATAAGTACAGAATACAGAATTTCTAAACACTTGTTTAGATATATCAGATCTGCTTGCAGGTTTTGGTTGAACTAAAGAGTAAGGAAAGGGAGTGCCATGAGTGTAAAATTTGTGCAGTTGGAAAATTGAGTCTGTTAACATATTAACAACAAAATATAGACACCTTTCAATTGTGTTCATTTTTTTTCTGATCATTAATAGATAAACATGGTGAGATACTCTTGAATCCTAAAAGTCATTGTCTTTGTTCTACCTTGACAGCTAGCAGCACAGATTGAAAGGGTCAGCGAGATGGTTGCAGTGATGAGGAAGGCTGCCTCGCTGGGTGATGATGAGTGCCAACAACAACAGAGATTAATTTCAGCCCTGGCAACAGAAAACAAGGTGATTTGTATTGCATTTGTTCTTTCTAATGTGTTTCTTGTTAGGATGGTGAAAGATTTTGTGCAAGGAAGCTTGTGTTTTGTATCTTGGTATTGTACAAAGGTCATTCCAAACTCCTCTCTGTCCTCTGTGTATATAATTTGCATGTTAGTGTCCATAAAACACACTAAAACTGTTATGGAACCCCCCAAATGTTTTTGAAAAATAGATAAGTTTGTGTTTTTATCTGGGTATTGTATAAATGTCATCCCAAACTTCCCTTATGTTCTCTGCTGATTAATCATTAACAGGTCTAGAAAGAGACACAAGAGCTCATTGACTCTTATATTGCCTCCCTGGTATGCCTCAGAAGATATCTATTTCCTTCCCTCATTTGTGACTGTTCTTCCTCTTCCATTAGGGTTTACGAGAGATGCTCAGCATAGCTAACCGGTCGGGATCTATTCAGCCAGCCACCACAGCTGTGGATGCAGAGACACAAACAGACCACGATTTGTCAAAGGTAGAGGAAGATAGGGAGGAGGAGGAGGAGGAAGACGAGACCCCTACGCAAGCAGACTCCTCAAACCTAAATACCACCCAAATTGAGCAGAAATCAGCGGAAACAGAAGGGACTTCGGCATCGTGATAAAGCCCAAGGCCTCGTTAGATCATAGTCTTGCCTTCCTTCCTCTGTTCTCAGAGTTCAGAAGAGAAAATAAAAAGGAAACGGATGAGAAGTGTTGTGGTTCTGTATTTAGTGTTGATTTGGGAGGGATTACAGAGTTACTGGGGAGAGGAGCTGACTCCAGTAAGCAGAATAACTACTTACATGGTGATTAATGGGTTATTTAAGAACCCGATTTGGCTGGTGACCCCCAAATGACAGCCATATTCGCTTGCAGTGATCCAAGTTATCGGGTGGATTTGTGTGGCGTGTTGATGCAAGTGATTTAATTTAATGACAGTCTGACGAGAATGCAAGGTGAGACGGATGATGATTTAAGGATATGCATTTTTTTCCATTGCCTTTGAAAAGTGGCTCATAAAGTATGTAAGTTAAAAAGGGGAATGATTTTGGGTTTTGTAAGAAAAAAATATAAATGAAGAATAGTTCTGATATGATCCCAAGACTTAAGTTATTTACAAAGCTGGTTATGATCATTGTGTGTATTAAAGCAAAAGGCGGTGATGCATTACAACATTAAACAGGAAAATGAAAAAGATTATTTGTAGTGGGATCAAACTGATTTTCTTATATGATTAGTAGTTACCTGTGAATATATTTTTTTTTTCATTAATTTTTGATTTTGATAATTCACCATCAAGATTTACAGCTTCCTGTCTATTAAGATCATCTGAAACTAGATGTGATTTATGAGGGTCCGCAACCTCATTTTAGTCATGTGGCTATCTTTTGAGTGGCGCGTGATGCATTACAACATTAAACAGGAAAATGAAAAAGTTATTTGTAGTGGGATCAAACTGATTTTCTTAATGATTAGTAGTTACCTGTGAATATTTTTTTTTTTCATTTTTTGATTTTGATAATTCCCATCAGATTTACAGCTTCCTGTCTATTAAGATCATCTGAAACTAGATGTGATTTATGAGGGTCCGCAACCTCATTTTAGTCATGTGGCTATCTTTTGTATCCCATATCAGTGTCCTCACAAATCTGATCTTACAAAACACCTTTCAGTAGTAGATATTTAACAACCATACTTTTAGAATTTCAGTGTTATTTAAGTGTAGATGAGATCGAATGTATGGTATATGAAGCCAAATGATATATTTATTATTGATAGGCTTATGAAAGCATTTGAAATGAAATGCAAGGTATTGAAGTGACTGATGTTACAGGTCCTTATACTTTTGACACTTTAATAGTGAGATCAGGGAATCTATGCATATGATACTTTATTATCTTCAGCAACAGAAACCCGAAAATTTCTTACTGTAGGTTAAACAGAGACAATACTCCTTAATAAAGAAAAAGAGAAGTGAGGAATGAAATATTAATGACAAAATTAACAGAGTACTGTCTAGTAAAAATTAGCAAGAGATGTCAATATTGTACAGTTTATGAGTCAAGTTTCCAAGGGCCAGATTTGGTTGCAAATTTCTGGAGATATCATACAATTCTTATTATCATTATTATGCAACATGATATTTTGTATTGTCTCTTCTTTGATGTACTGTTTGCGGCAGGTTCTTATCATGTTCTTTAATTTATTGATGATATTGTATACTAGTAGAACTGGTCAGTTTATCAACCAGGTTATGTTCATGGATAATATAGTTGGCTAGTTTATCCCTTAACAGGAAAGGGCAAATTGCTGGAATAAACTCATGATTACTACATTTTAACAATCTATTGCAGGATGTTAAAGGAATTTTAAAGATTTATTTTAACACAGTAGGTAGGTTCCCATTTTTTTGTTAATATGCAGTATTAACTTTCGTGAATGTAGCTGCCGGTAATTTTTTTTATCATCATAATTACAGTTGTCATTTGTGATAATTATTTTTCTTATTTTGATTTATTTTTGTTTTCCATGTCAACTTTAGTTCATGTTGGAGTACAGGTGGTGCATTGGTGTTGCAATTCTCTTTTACCCATTTATATGAAAAAAAAGGAAATTACCAATTGCATTAGCAGTCTTGAGCAGCCCAGAATAATTCAGTGCTGAGAAGAGAGGAAGCAGACTCGGCAGAGAGTGACCCCCTTTTTAACAGCGGCAATTAATCCCTTAATACATGTTCCTAATTGTCTCGTAGTCCCCTATAAGCTTCTTTCTCACGTAGCTGTGAAGGGTGTCTCTCGGGAGTCTTGGTTGTATGTAGAGATAAAAAAAGGTGAAAAACAAGAGTGAGAGAAAGAGAATGAAATAGAAATTTACCATTTGACTCTCTAATTGTGATTCAGTTATGCTTTTGACAAGTGAATTGATTAGAAATAAAAAGATGGACAGAAGGACCAAGGTGGAAAGTGTCCTCTATAGCCTAGAATTCCGAGCCCCACCAACATTGTGACACACGATGGGGGGTGGATGGGGATGACGGAAGGTCAAAAGATACTACTTACGCAGGATATGTAGTTGTTTCCAAAGAACCAAGATTTGGTTGCCAATCCCTGGAAGCCTAATACAGCTCACCCATGCAGCATCGACCTCCTCCGCATATGGTGATGAAAATACTCATTCCATAGCATACATGTCAGTACCACGCAAAAAGACTTTCAGCCACGGTCCCAGTGTGAGTCTTTGTACAGTTTTTAAAAAGTTTGGTCAATGAAGTTGTTTTTTATATTGCAATGTAAAAAGAATTTTTTTGTGTGTGTCACACTAATGCCAGATGTATTGTATATTTTCTTGTATTTTTTTGTTTTCTATCAAAGGATTTTTTCTTCATCTTTTTGTCTTTGATTTTTATGTTCTTTTTTTCCTTTTTTTATTTTGCCAGAAATCCAAAACTAAGTAATATCAAACCATTTTACAATATCCTTGTTTCAATACCCTTTCTAACCAGTGCTGAGAAAAGTTATCAGACCCCAACTTGTCTTAAGAAAAAATAAAAAAAAGTTAATAATTGCATGTAAAAATCTATCAGTGATTCAATAGTTTTGCTGAATAGACTTTGGGCGTGTTCTTGTAATTGGAAATTAAAAGGTTTTCTTTTCGAAACAACACTTTGTTTGGCCAGAGTGGGTGTTTAGAATGTTACTTCCCAGATTGTTGTAAAGGTTTGCCTTTGAGTTGCTGATGTTCTAGTGTGGTAGCAAGCAAAGCTTGCTTGTCGCACCGTAAGAAAAAAAAATAATAAAAAAAAAAAAAAAAGGGATGGGGTTGGGGGTGGGCGGGGGGGGGAGTGGGCGCTCGGGGGGCCCCCCCTCCAAACGCCCAGCAAGGGCGACTCAGCAGTATAAGTAATGATGCTCACTCTATATCCTTCCGTTCCGTACTCTTCTCGGTCATTCCCTCTCTTCCCAGCCGTCAGCGATCATGCAGCACACTTTCCAATGTTGTTTTGTCGAGTTAAACGGCGTACAAAAAAAAATTATTTTCATGGTGATGTAAGTGTATACATCTCTAAAACGGTTAGCGGAGAGAGGAGAGAAAACAGAAGATTTTCGCAAAAGAATAGACGAAGCAGGAGGGACAAGCGAGAGAAGTCGAGTGAGGAAAGAAAAAGGAAAAAAGCATAGGGCGAGGAGAACAATAGGATTAGATACGATAGAAAGTAGTATACTAAAAACATTACTAAAAGATAAATTATAATTTATGATATATATATATACGATTAGTAAGACTATATATGGTGTATGGTAGAGGAGACAGACATGCTTTGTTTTGTTTTATGTATATGGGGCGGGGGTGGGGGTGGCGTGGTGCGCCGAATCATGACTGGCTTTGTAATTGGTTCAACTCGGCGTTTGCACGCTGGAATTATTTTTTGATGATTGTGGCTTTTGAAATATCATTATCAGGATGTGCCGTGTCATGATTCATATGCTATGAATCATATAAGAATTTAGGATACAAAATCATATTCAATATTTATTCAATGGATAATAAGGCCCAATTTAAGTATTAGACGCAACTGGGTTCACGGACTTTGTGAACTTATTAAATTTTCATTTTCGTACAGAACGCAAAGAAATGAGAATGCCTTAGGAAAATACGAAACCTTACTCTTAATGTGTAAATATTAAGGAGTCAGTGAATATAGAAACTCACTGTACCCAAAAAGAGTTATGTTTCTCCCGTTTTATCAACACAGTAAATGGATTTGCCATGCAAAGCATTCTAACGACCATGGATTTGCTACACTATGTAATTCAATAACCATGGATCTGCCACACTGCAGTTAATTTAATGACTATGGATATGCTACATCGTAAGTGATTTAATAACCATGAACCTGGTCGAATGAACTGACAAATTGACCATGGAATGTAGGCGTTACAGTCCCTTGGGCTTCAAAGTCAACCTTGGCAATCTGGTTGAAATTTTGTGCGTCTAGAACTAAAAATGAAATAAGTCGAGGATTCGTCCTGTGAAGTAGGAGAGACAACACTACACCGTCATCTTCTACTCCAGAGGACTTGCTGTCAGGAGAAGCCACATAGACTGGTTCTGAGACGAAGTATGCAGGGTCCGTCCATACTTTTTCCTCTCCTGTTTTGACGTCTAACTTGACCAGCGTTGTAAAGTCGAGGACCATCCCTTCGTTACTTGCGCCGTAAGCATAGCGGTATTGTTTACCATTGTAGTCATAATTTATCCTTGGCATTTCAAAGAAAATAGGGTTGAGGGTGAGGGCCTCAAGGTGAATAGTGTTGTCACTGACTTTCTTTGCGGAAGCTGAGTCTCCTGCGCGGTTCTCCACTTTGGCATCTGGCACGCCCTCCAGGAGCTCACTTTCGTCGGGCATTCCGCTGACATCTCCCAAGGGCAAGATAAACCTCTTGGCCACAGAGTCGAATTTCAACTTCGTCGGGTCGTCGTTGGCCTTTTTGAGATTGGAGTAGTAGAGAGACTTCACGATCTCCCCCGACTGGATGTGGGAGACGTCGATGACCAGCATGTCATCACTCGTCTCGTAGGCGTTGATGTGATGGAAGGTGAAGAAGGCGTCGGAGGTGAAGGTGGTCGGGTGCTCCTGCCCGGTCCGCCGGTCAATCACCCGGAAGTGGACCTTCTCGTTGGGGAACCACACCATAGCCTCCTCGAAGCTTTTGCCGAAGTATTGGCCGGCCAGGAGGGCACCGATGCTAAACGTGAAAGGTGTTTCGAGGAGAATGAAGTAATTTTCGGTGATGGCATAGCTGTGCATGTATCCTGGATGGAACCTCCACCTTGCGTTAATCGACGCCTCCATTTTCGCCTGTTCAATCTCCCCGTTGCGAAGAGAAATGATGTTATAGGTGGGGCCGTTCCTGTTGCCGGAAGAAGCAAGGTTGTAGACGGTGCCGTCCGGATCGACGTGAGGGTGGGCGGTGGCTTGTCGAACTGCAACATACTCCGATATCGTCAGCTGAAAATCAAAACAATTTTTATTTTTTTTCCGGTACATTTTACCTTGACGTATTGCATTACAGTAGGTTTGACTGTCTCAGAACGAGTTAATTTATAAAGACATTAAATCTAAGAAGAGATATATCTGGTAAAAAAAAAATCAACATATACGAGGCAGCATCATATTACATGCCACCATAAAAAACACCACATTTAAACGTTCATCAGTATATATCCTCCTTTTCTCACCAACCTTGTCTCCGAGAGTGTCCAAAGTCTCCGGATCCACAACCCTCACTTCGTCGGTCTCCGTCATGGCAACCATCTGGTCCTTCACCTGGAGGACATTCACCAGGCAGTTATCCATAATCTTGGGTGGCCGAGAGAACCAAGAGGCTACGCTGTCAAACAAGGTGCGACATGGATCCGGGAAGGGCGCGGTGCCAAAACCTCCGACGACAATGCGGTTG